TTGATCTCTCCTATGACTGAGGGAATTTATGCAAAACGTCTTGTCTCTCAAGGGAAGGTGGGGTTAAATATTAACTAGCCAAAATTACCTACTTTCTCTCAGCAAACTCGCTACTCCTCCTGTAATTTAAATCCCATCTGGAGCGACATCCTTGAATTTAAAGTGGATTTGTGATCTCGCTTTTCCTTCCTCTGCATATTTCGACTGTGAAATACAGTTTTTGTGATGGAAAAGCCGAGGTTGGCGAAAAATAAATTTGGCAAATCAGATGGGAAAACGCGGTTTGCTGTAATCTCGCCGACAGGTTGCGTGATTTTTTTTTTTTTTCTATCACGGACCACATGCTGCGATTTCTCGAAAGTTGCGATGAATTTATTTACGAGACCGCGGCGAATATTTTACACCCTGTTCAGTCACATATCACCGGTTGACATTTAAAACACAGACTTTAATTAGATGTTAGATGAAGCACCAAAAGCTTAAATAAGAGCTCCAGTAACCATGACCCGTGGTGACCCGGTTCGTGCCATTCACAGGCTCCACGGGAGGTTCTGGCCTGAAAAGAACTTGAATGACAAACTTGAGGGGAAAAAAAAAAACAGTTGAATCCTCACATCCTGCTTCTTCTCCTCTTGAATCATCAGTGAGGGATTTCGTTGACCCTAATCCATGTTGTGCACAGTTATTTCAACCCTGAGCCAGAAAGAAAGTGGGTGTGTGTGGCGGCGGCGGCGGCGGCTGCTGCTGCTGCTGCTGAGCGGGGTAAGTTGCGTTCTGTCATTGTTGCCTGACTTCAAAGCTTCCAGCTCACCATGCTCTCTTCTGAAATCCCCCAAAAACCTGACAACATTAGAATACCATCAAACACTCTCTGGCTGCCTTTGAAATGCCACTGACACTGTTTGGCGCTGCAATTTGCAGGCTCTAAAGAGCGCGCCCATGTTATTGAAATAAATCTGAGGCTTGTAATGGGAATGGAAATGAACACATCTTTCATGCTTTGGCTTAGAAGTGAGAGTTGAATATTGAGATGGAGCCTTGTTTCCCTGGAGAGGAGGTTGTTGACTTTGTAGCTCTCCCTCATTGTCCATTGTAGCCTTGCCATTTCTGTCATTTTCTGTTTCGTTTTACTTCCCCCTCTTCATCTCTCTTTTCCTATTCTTCACTCCCGTATTCTGGTTTTTTTTGCCCTCATCCAGATGGCAGAAAAACGATTCTGTCCAGAGGGAAGACTTTAAAATGTCTGCAGCGAGACAGATAAAAGAAGCCAGACTAAACAGTCACAAAGGTTAAGTGTACTAAATGAGTGCTTTGATAGACTTTAGTCTATTGATTTTATAGTCAGCCGGTGCTAACCGTGGACTTCTCCCGCTGCTGTGATGGAGGAGACACCTGCATGGATTGATGAGTTAAAGTCAGGCACACGTCCACGAAGCGGCGGAGGGGTGGGTGGACATCAGTGGGCAGCCGAGCCTTCCAGGAAATTGTTTTCGTTCCCTGCTACAGTGCAATTCAGCTTAATGCGAGAAACGAACAATGAAACTTCCAGCACTTGCGGCGGTGGAACAATGTGTTAATTACAGCAGTGGGTTGTCATTGTACTTGAATGGAGCAACAGCCTTTCCCCCACTGTGTGCTAATCTTTTTGCATTAGGACTATTAAGGTCCAAATGCAGCGCGGCTAATGCTTCTCAGTCAACACATCATTTCTGAGTTTTCAAGAAACTCTGAGTGTATGGCAGCAGTCCAACGGAGCCTCGAGTTTAATGCACAAGGACAAGAGACGTGCTGGTAGGAACTGACAGTCTGTTTTTACATTTATTTTTATAGTTTTGTTAATACACAGGGCTGCTAGGTGGATCGGTGGTTAGCACCGTGGCCTCGCAGCTAGAAGGTCGCCGGTTTGTGTCCCGGTGAGGACACCCTGTGTGGAGTCTCCATGTTCTCCCCGTGCAGCGTGGGTTCTCTCCGGGTTCTCCGGCTTCCTCCCACAGTCCAGAAACATGCTGAGGTTAATTGGTGA